GAAAAAAAATCCATGCAAATGAAAATGCAAACATGGCTAAATGTTCACTGGTGAATCTGGAAGCGCGTGTAAGACCTGGGGGGCTATTTTTACAACTTTTATGCATGTTTGAAATTATTTTTTTTAAAAAGCAAAAGAAAGAAAATGAAGCTAAGAAGCTATCAAGCCCTTAAAAGAACAAGAAACTGTGCTATTAGTCAAGCAGCCAGCTCCCAGCTGGGAGCAGCCCTCCAACTCTTGGTCCTGTTTCCTTACCTCCCCCTTTCACGGTCAGCCTGGAAAGGTGAGCTTTATGTCAATGCGCTGTCAAATGTTTGGCACCTTTGCACCTGTAAGAGAAAAGCAGTGAATCCAGTGCGGTACAGTGGCCAGTGGAAAGGGTTGTGGGGCCAAGGGCTCCAGTGCCATCATTTGCCTACCTGCAACCTCTTAACCTAGGTGTCTTCTTACGAAGAAGTCCAGGCAAAATTGTCGTCGTGCCCGGAGAGACTTCTAGCACTGAGATGCTGCTTTAACGGGACAAAGCTGAGCTTGGCCGCCCAAGAGAGGAGCAGTGCTCCCCATCAGCCAGCAGAGGGCGCGACGACCCCGGCGTCATCCTTTGAACGCTTGTCCAGCCAGGCTGCCCAGGGTGTGGGCTCACCCATCTCCCGGGGCAAGACTAGGGAAAGGTGAACAAGGCAGGGTCGTGATGGTGCAGGGCCAGGTCCTGTCTTTACCTAAGACTTGGGTCTCTTGTTCATCACGGGGAGTCTCTGCATGGCTTGTTGCCTCCCCCTAGTCCCATCCCCGGCAGGTCTAATCCATAAACTGCACCACCAGCTCAGGGTTTGCTGTGAGTGAGGTGAGGCCTGCACCTACCAGGCTCTTCGTACCCACAAAGAAACAGCGGGCAAAGGGAATTTATGCTGAATTCCTGCCTTTGATGTCACTTCACAGTCAGCGCTGGGTCTCAATTTTCTCTAAAATGAGACTAGCAATCCCTTTGCACAGTTGGTTCTGAAGACAGAATGACACGCAAATGGAGTACCTCCTATGCGCCAGACACAGCACTGAGTCGGGCCTTTAGTTATAAACCCACAAAACTGTCACAACTCTACCGTGTAAGAGCTTTTCTTATCCCCATTTTTAAACGTGAGGCCAGTGGGAGAGGAGGCGGGAGAAATGAGCAATGTTACCTTAAAGAGAGGGGTAGGTAGAGGCCAAGGGAAGGAGCTTGGTCTTCATGCCAAATGAAGCACCTCTTCAGAAGGCTTCTAATCAGAGCAGTGACATGCGGAGCCTGCCCTTCAGAAGCGACCTGCTTGAGGTCCAGGCACATGGACAAGTGCGGAAAATACTGTGAGGTCAAAACCCAGAGGCTGCCCCCTCCAGCATCTGGAAGCCAGCATGCAAAAGGGTGAGTGTGTCACAATCACACAACCTTAATAAGCCTCCTTTTCTCACCCCATACCCCAAGCTGGATTCAAGCAATTTGCTTGCGTTGCAAGATTCTTGCTAAGGCCCATTCGTTATCAGACATAGAGTGGCATCCATCACTTGGAAACACCTGTTTGGGTCATGTGGCTTGTCCCCTGCCAGTCTTGGGGACTTTCCCACTGGCCCCTTATTTCTTTTTCCTGCTTTTGGGTGACTCAGCCGGTGGCACTTTCACCCCCTCTGGAATCTCCATCCTGCCTTCCTCAAATTCCAAGGGACCCTTTGTCCCAGGGTATTGGCCCCACTGACTGCTGTGGCCCGTGGTGAATGGCTGTGGCTGCCCGGGATGTTTGAGGCCACGTGTCTGAACTCATGGTTTTCTTATCTGCCCATTCATATGACATGCATGGGACTCTTTGGCAGGGGCTTACTGACAAGGACAAGAGCTTAAGGCTCTGAAGGGCTCTGACTGTCCCTGCCCAGTCCGGATGGCATCTCCCAAGGTAGACACTGCTCAAAATACTGAAAGGAATCATTTGAAGAAAAGGGCTCCATGAACAATAAATTCAGGACACCCTGTTTCAACATAGTTAAGTTGCTTTGTTATAGGACTTTGCGGCACACTTAATATGCTAAAGTGAATTACAAATCTCCAAAAAGGAGTGATATGTATTTACTCTTTCATCCAGAAGCGTCTTGCAGACTAGTGTTTGGAAGTACACGCCCAGGAAATGTCATCTGCAGCCACTAAGTGGCAGGAGGAAGGCCACCTCAGAGTGTTCAGTCAGGCCCGGAGCCTACTCCCAATTCCCATCACCAGGATGGGTGAGTGGAGCGTTTCTGCCTCCCTGGGGCCACCCGCAAAGCCTTGTCACTCTGACACCTGCTCGGGGTCAGTGACTCCTGGGCTGGTGGAAGCTGCCCTCGGCTCACTTGCAACAGAACACAATGTTGGCATGGGCACTGTTTGACCTGCTTAAAAGAATAAAAAGCTTTTAGCACTTTTTATTACCAAACAAGTACATGTTTTTGTAAAAAAAAAAACACAATCGAACACTACGCACGCACATCCAGTAAAGAATCGTCCTGTCGTCTCCTCTGCACTGCCCCCAGTGCTGTGTTCCTGCTGTGCCTGCCTTGCGTAAGGTTGTGGCGTAGTGTGAGGGCTAGGAGGAATCAGGGTAGCCAGGTTTGAAAGAATCCCAGCTCTGGCACTTGCCAACTATGTATCCTTGGGCACAAGCCTCAGTTTGTACATCTGTAAAGTGGAGGCATGGTAGTAGGGACTGGGGGAGTGTGGCGTGAGATGGGCCAGAAAGCACTTAGCAAAGCTCCTGCCCCTAGTTGGGTTCTCTTACATCTGACTCAGGATTTTCTTTCCAGATTCCATGTACTTTTTTCTTTTTCTTAAGTCCACGTCCATGCAATGTATATGCTAATTACAGAATGGCATCCGTCCCTCAGTTTCTATGTGCAGAAACCAGTATTCAGAGGTTTACTTTATTTTTCAAATTAATACTCAAATGATCAAAGTTAAAGTTCAAAAACAGATTAGTTGATCCTCTCATCCTACAGGTTCACTTATTTTTGATGCCGGGAACTAAACCCTTTCCTAGAACCCTGATGGTGTGGTTACTTCCTTAGAAAATGTTGTGCTCTTAAATTCAGCTTATGAAAGTTCTTATTCTTTTTGTTAAGTCCAGTTAGGATCACCAGATAAAATATAGAATGCCCAAAAGAAGTTGAATTATCAAAAATTCACATATACCCAGGCTCTGTATTTTTATTTGCTAAATCTGGCAACCTTACATAGAGCAAACTTAAATAATGACTTTCAAAGACCTATGGGCCCCTTTATACATATTTTTTAATTCTTTTATAACTGAATATGCAATATGCCATATTTCCTTCTAAAGTTCTTCACTCATCTGAACAAAAAAGCCACTGTTTTTATAGTAAATAATTCCAAGTCTAATAAACTTGCAAACAAGTTTTTAAAAATAAATATTGCAAAACTATACATAAACTCATTAAGGTTTCATATCTAAAATCACAAATCTTAATAGAATTTTTTTAGGCAGTTTTACTGTACACAATTTCTTATACCAAATCCTAGCAGTGCCTTACCAGGGACAGCAATTGCTAGTCTCCTAAAATGGGTCAGTTCTTGGACTTTAAGGACAAAGAGCCAGCTAAAGTCCCTGGAGAGATCCATGGTGTGGGTAAAATTGTAGTAATATCTCTCCTGGCTTTAGTGCATCCTCAGGGGTGGAGAGAAGTATGGCTTTAGTGCATCTGGATACCAATAGGCATTCCTCAGGGGTGGAGACAAATTTATTTCCATATCAATGGGTAATTACCTGGGCAACTGAGGGCTTAGCTGAATGTGAAAGGTTAAAGGGACTGCTGGTTGGCTTCTGCTGGAGCAGGAGAGAGAAATGGCCCTGGACTGCAGTTTGTAAGCAATAAATGGGTTTAAACTTTATTTCTCCCTTTGACTGATATCAGTTTTAGAGGTATTTTGTCCTGGGATTTCCTCTCCCTGGACTTACACATGGCTTACACATTTTATGTCAGAGTTACAAGATTACCTATTTAAGAGGCCAAAATCTCTCACATGTTAGAAGTTCATAAAATCCCACATACAAATAAATTACTTCTTAAGACCCACAGCAAATGTATACCACACTTAATTCTAAATCTCTCTCTAGCTGGAAGATGCCCATTGGCCAAGGAAGGCAATCACCATGGTGTGAACCAGATCTGCTTTCACCAGAGATTCAGCCAGGCCTGAGGCCTGCACTGTAGGCGACGGAAATTCATCCCACCAGGGGCTCAGGAAACTACTATTTCCTCCCATGTACTATTTGGGGTTATCTCCCTAGCATGCTTGGGTGTGCTTGGCCTGCGATTTTGGCCAGGATGCTGGCTGGATGTGTGTGGGTGATACATGCACACTTTTCCCTATTGCTGCTGCCACCCGCCCATCCTTTCAAAAGGGCGTGGCCTGGAGATCCCAATGCTGGCTTCATCATCCACCACTTCACTGAAGGATTCTCCTTACCAAAGTCTCCAAAGGTTTATAAGTTAATTGGATTTTGCACTTCTGATCCTCCTATCTTCCTACCAAAATCTTTAAAAGTCATTTTACATGGGCTAACATCCTCTGAACCTTGCAAAACCTTCCTTTCTTGAGGCCACACAACTCTGATAAACATTAACATGATACCAGGATGAATCACGGACGTCTCCAGGGGCTCTAACCGGCTCTTTGTCCTTCAGGTCCAAGGGCGAGTTACCCAGGCGAGTGGACTAGCCGTTGCTGTCCCTGCCAACACACTGCTAGGATTCGGTGTAGGAAATCGTGCACAGTAAAACTGCCTTAAAAATTAACTAATTCAAACTAGACTTGACCTTCATTACACCCACCCGGGTAGTTAGAGAGTTGGAGCCTGGGTGTGTCCAGGATAGCTGGCTGCCAAACCGCAGTGATGGCAGAAACCCCGGCAGCATTTCCCACTGCCCCCTGCTTCCTTGTCCCCACGCAGGAGGCTCCATCACCCCAGGTGCCCTCTGGGGCGGACCACTTCCGAGTTCATAGATTTTTCAGAAAAAAACACATGACATGTGACCCCAGGAGAGATGAGCAGATGTCCCAGCTGGCTCCCACTTGGGGTGTGAGTGATTTGCAGAGGATACGGCCCAAATGAGGAGGTCGATTTCCTTACCAGAGCGACAAACACAGGGGCTCCTGAGACCGGCCCATTTCCTTGGGGAATGAAACACACGATCTTCAGTTCCTCAGAGAAGTGAAAATAGCAACTAGGAATCCAGTCATTCCTGTTATCTGCAGGCTCTCTAGATCAGCCGAGCCTGAGGAGGTAGCTGTGCGCCCACACCCCAAACCCCGCTGTCCACTGCCACCACGCCTGGAAGCCAGAGGAGCTCAGCATGTCTCCTCTGCGGGGCCCCTTGCTGCTGATGCTCTGCGTCAGCGGTGCCCTGACCCTGAGGATCTGCTCCTTCAACGTGAGGTCCTTTGGGGAAGCCAAGAAGGAAAACCAGAAAGCCATGGATGTCATCTTAAAGGTGAGACGCATGCCCGTCAGGGGGGCCGGGCACCCCGCGTGTCCTCGCTCCCTCTTTCAGACTTGAAGAGACTCCCAAGAAATGGGACTAAACTTAGTCCCTAGGGGGAAGGTAGCAGTGACCTTGGAATTTTGTAACAAATAATGGCAGCAGTAATTCCAATGGCCACTTCACCATCTTAATATGGGACTAATGAATAACGTACTACCCTTTAGTGGGGGATATGAGAATGGCTAAATGGAAAACTCCAGAAACAGCATCTGGCCCTTAGGAAGCTTCAGGTAAAGGCAGGCTATGGCTTTAGCTCTTACTGTCTCTTACTGAATGCCTGCATCAGGCTCTGCAAGTACATGATTCCTCACCCATTTTCTTTTAATTGGTATAGAGTTGATACACAATATTATATCAGTTTCAGATGTACAATATAGTGACTTGATAATTATATACACTACTAACTGGATGCTCGGCATTGTAAGTGTAGTTAGTTCCTCATCACCACACCAAGATATAACAACATTATTGGCTATATTCTATATGGTGTACTACCATCCCACCTTCCCTTAAGGAAGATTATCTCCATGAAGGGATGTTGATAAACGGAAGGTGAAGTAACCTCGTGCAATCAGGGGTGAGGGGAGCCGGGAGACCAGCCAAATCTGGCCTTTTAACCAACAACACAGATTTTGCTTTCTTTCCTTCCTTCCTCTTTCTGTCTCCCCTTCTCTCTTTCCTGCTCCCCATCCCTTCCTCCTTCCCTTCTCCCCAACAACTTTACCCCAGCTCCCAGATCTATCTTTCTCTCCACTTAGAAAAGACTTTCCTGGGTAATATGACCAATGCTCACATTTCTCTGGGGTCAGTTGACTCTCTTCATCCTATGGGTTAATTTATTTTTCATGCTGGGAACTGAAAGCTTTCCCAGGGCTCTGACTGGGTGTTATTACCTTAGAAAACCCCGAGGCACCCTGGTGTGATGGGAAGGTAACAGCCCTGTGTTCAAATCCCACCCGGCAACAGGATGAGCAAGCCTGGGAAGTCCCTCCTCACCGAGCCTCTGGCCTTTCAGTAAAGTGGGACTTAACCTGTAGGAGAGGTCAAGGCCCCCAGCAGAGCTTGTGGCCAGGCAGGCAGTCGCAGAGCTGCCACTGTTGTCATTCGGCATGCAGAGCCCCTGTGAACACAATCAGGTACATCCCACCAAGTTTCAGGTCTGGGAGGGCCTTCCAGTGGCACGCGTCCTTGGAGCCCTGTCCGAGGAGGACATGAAGCTGGGGAAGATATATTTTACCAGGCCCTCTGGTCTGAAATCGGGGCAGGGAAAACATATCAGTAATGGGTTTGACAACTGAGTGTTTAATGGCTCACAAGGCGAGATAATGCCAGGCGAGAAAAAAAACAATTCAAACTGCATGATAAATATTGCCACTGTTTGCTGGGCATCTGTTCCATGCCAGGGACTGGGCTGAGCATTCTACATCCATCATGTCATTTAATCCCTATGACAACCCTGTGACAGGGCTGTCTTCCTAGGAATCTGGGGATGCAAGGAGCTTGAGTGACTTGCTCAAGGTCACACAACTAGTAAGCAATTGAGTCAAAACATGAATCCAAGACCATTTGACAAAGCCCATACTTACAACCACAATCCTTTTGATGCCAATTTTGTCAGTATATGTAAGTATAGAAATCATATGGAAAGTGTCTGAGTGGTGGAGTTAGAGGTCATCACTGTTTTCTGCATTTTCCAAATTTTCTCCAATAAGCAATAGTATCTTTATAATTAGAAAATTTTAATAAAATTATTTTCAAAGGACTGAGTAGGAAATGTATTCCCATTTTTCTTACAATGCTATAAAGATTTAAATACTAGAAGATATTTGTAGCTGCGATAAAGCATGGCCTAGTATGTTGTCTAGCATGCAGCAGGCCCCTGGTAAAGAGATGGGTAGGATGGATGGATGTGCTAGGCAGAAAGACAGACATGAGCGGGATGAAGAGGGTGGGGTCTACCAAGAACTCAGGGAGTTAAACAGGTAAAGGCAGAGAGCCAGAAGGCACTCACAGAGCTCCTGACCTTTGCAGTGTGAACTCATTCCGCGTGCTCTGAACCGGGGCTGACCTGGAGATGGGTGAGACAGAGCAGAGACATGAAACAAGCATCATGACTAATTTTCCTAAAAGTGTCGAGATCTGAACAGCATAGTAGGAACAGAAAGGACCCACGTTAGGGCAGGGCAAGCAGTCCTAACTGATATGTTCCCAGTGCTTGAGGGTGGCCACTATCTTGGAGAACAGGAAGCTTGTCCTACAGAATTATCTGGAGGATGGACTAGGGCTAATAACATATTGTCTCTCACCAGAGATAGACATCATGAGATGCCTGACAAGCCTATGCCCCCTGACCCTTTACCTTTATTGCATTCTTGAAAAATCCTTAACAGACAGAATCCCAGCTTTTGAGGGCACCTCCTCTCTGAGGTTGCCCGCACTCCCCTTTCTTGGAGTGTGTATTTTTAAAAGACTTCTTATTGCTCAACTTAATACATTTTGTCTCTTGCAGTGGTGGGTCACTTTGCTGTTTCATTCTATTCTTCAGACTTTAGACACAGGTCTTCACTCTGCCTGCCCTACGTCAGACAGGTAGGGAGGGGCTACTGAGAGCTCCGATTTGGGCCTGCAAGCTCCCATCAGCGAGTTCCCCTGCCGCTGCATTCACATAGACCTGCCTTTGTCTACCTTGACTCTGCCATTCCTCCCTCGGTGTGCCCTCAAATCAAACCTGTGCCCCACTTCACTACTGCGTCTCTGCCCTTTGACTCTTTGTTGCTGCGGAGACAAGAACAGAGGAGAAGAAACTCAACCCCCCAATGATGGATGAAGGCCAACCAGCTAAAGTTACAGGTTTCATCCCCAGGAGAATTCTGGTAATGGGATTTTGAGCCACTATTCATTGCAGTGTAGACTCCAGTGTAAGGGAAATACTCCCAGAGGTGCAGAGAAACTGCCCACGGGAAGTGGAAATCAGTAGCTGGTGGAGACGTGGGGCTCAGGAGTGTCTGTTACGTGGGCAAAGGGGCTGGAAACAGGACGTCTGGAGGTTCGACGCTTTTGCTCAGGAAAGGGAACCTGGACCCCTGGCCCATATTTGCCCTGCCCTGATAGTTCGCATTCAAAAAAGGAGCTCATCATAGAGGGGGAGCAATCACAGGGACATGGTGATTTCCTTGGTTGTTGAGTGAGGGGGCAGGAGGGGTTCCGTAGCAGAAATCTCCTTACCCATATTCACCCCATGTTCAGGTTACACAGCGCACTGAGCCTCAGAGTCCCCAGCTGTACAATGGGGATGACAAGAGGACCTGCACTGCAGGGTGATCATGAAAATGCAACAAGTCGATGATAAGAGCTGTCACTTAGAAAGCCCTCACTGTGTGCCAGGCACTGTATTGGGCTTTAAATAAGACAACTCATTTAACTTCCGTTAAACAATTTAGAATCTCACCTGTCATGTCTCAATAAATACTGGCCATCAACCCATTCCCCCAAATTCCTTCCTCAAGTATTTTCTTTTTTAAAATGAAACTTTACTTTTTTTAAACTATAAAGATATATTTTAAAATTGTTTCTATTTTTTAAATTAATTTTATTAAATTAAAAATAGTCATCATGGACTATTTAAAAAATATAGAAACATAAAAAGAAAAAGAAGAAAATCCCCCATTATCCTATCACTTAAAGATAACAGCTGTTGGGTAACTTTGTTATGGACATTTTTCTATGTCCAAAAAAACCCCCAAAACATTAATCTACATCTGTTTTGCAGCATGGAAACCACCCTAAATTATCAGTTTTGTTTTTTACATTACATGAGAAGATTTTCATATTGTTGTTAATACTCTTTTAAAATATGGCTTTCAATGCTGTATAGTGCCATATGCTATGTTTGCAGCATATCTCATTTAAAGCTTTCCTGTTTGGGGATGCTCAGGTGGTTTCCAGTGATTTTGTTGCAATGCATCTTCCTCTTTGATCTGTACAAGTAATAATAACGATTTGTTGTGTGCTGCCTTCCCGGCTGACAGTGCCCTATGGACCCATTTAACCTTCCAGCAACCGTGGGAGAAAATGACTCTCATCCGTCCAATTCATAGATAAGGAAACTGAGGTGCAGTGAAGTAGTAGATACTTTATTACAAAGGAAGATATTCCCCAAAGTAGGAAAACTGTATTTTTTAAGACTTTTGGTACATACCCTAAAGAGCCTTCCAGAAAGATCTGACAGTGGCAAGTGGCTAAATCAGCACTCAGCCCCTCTGGGGAGCCCTGCAAGGCTGATGCCATCGGTTTCAGGCCTGCTGATGGAAGGATCCAGTCTCGGACACAGTCTTACTCCTCGGTCACTCCACAGGTGCATCGTCAACCCCCACCACCCTGAAGTGGCAAAGTCTTCCAGCTCCAGGTCTGTGGGGGCTGTAGAAGAGGACAAAATTAGCCTTGGGGATGCCCTGTCCTTGACCAACGAATCACCAGGAGCCCAAACACAGAAAGGTCCCTGTGGTCTCCAAGGGGCGTGGTCTCGGTCTGCACCCTGGTCTCAAGGTTACTGCTCACCCAGCAGCCTCTCCTGCATTCTTTGCCCACCCCACTGCGCACCTTCTTCCCTTCAGGGCCTCTTCAAATGCCACCTCCTCCTTGGAGCCTTCCCTGATCCTCTGGGCAGAAATAATTCATGATTCCTCAATACACCCACAGCGCATGACTTTCATTTAGCACAGATTTCATTAGCCTCTCATTATAGCTAGTTGTTTCTATTTGTCTCTCTCACTGGACTAGGATGCTCTCAGTGACTGTATTTGAACAGTTGAACATGGTAGCCTTGCCGTCACAAAGACCCAAAATCAAATCCCGGCTCTACCACCCATCCTGGCTGTGTGACTCCAAACTAGTCATTCCGTCTCTCTGAGCTGGTTTCCTCCTATGTTCTATAGGCCAATAATCATAGTTATCTCACAGAGAGGCTCAAAAGAAGCTCACATTCAATAAACATTAGCCCTTAAAATTACTATTATTATAATTACACCTCTTTGTTTCTGCAGCATTATTTCTCACTACTAAGAGCTTAATGAATATTTATTATTATTCCTGTAATTATTGAAGCAAAACCAAGAGGTAGGGCGCGTGGGGGCGTGACCGTGGGCTCTGGACTCGGACTGCCTAGGCTCACACTCCGTCCCGGCTGCTTTCTCGCTGGGTGACTTTGGGTGATTTACTTGGCTTTCGTGGAGCATCAGGCCCCTTTCTTTAAAATGGACATAATAATAGTACTTACCTCAGGAAGGCCGTCTTTTATTTCAGGGTAGAGGTTAATTAATTTAGCAAAGCATCAGATTTGATCATTTAAACATAGTAAATAAAAAAGGTTTTAGTATCCATAGTAAACGGCCTCAAACATGTGGGAATTCTCTCTTTGCAGGTCATCAAACGCTGTGATGTCATACTCCTGATGGAAATTAAGGACAGCAATGACATGATCTGTCCCATGCTGAAGGAAAGGCTGAATGGGTAAAGATGGTGGGGGGCGGGGGGCGGGGCTGGACCCTCTGCGGGCTTACGGTCCAGTGAAAGGGCACCTAAGACGCCTCTGGGAACTGAAACTAGGGTGAGAGCCAGCCCGCGCTCTGACCCCAGGTCAAGCGGCCAACATGCACTGCCCAGGCTTCCAACCCATTAGCCAAAGTCCTGAGAACTTCCAAGTGGCTAGTTTTAATATGATAAAGCAAAATAGAGGAAGCAGATGAGGAGTCAGAAAGAAAGAAATTAAAAACAGAATAGAAGCTGATCTGGGAAGTACTGTTATTAAGAAAACATTGAGTGCACATATGAAACTATGATGCGCCACAGGCTGGAATTTTACATAGCCATCAAAAATCACGTTTACTATAGGACAGGTTAGAGCTAAATATTCCCACATGGAAAGATGGCTGGAATATATAGGAAAAAAGCAAGTTCAGAATTCTAGGTAGAGTAACCCATTTTCGCAATCACATCACATCATACGTGAATAAAAGTGTGTTTGAGTGTGCCTGGGTGTAGAAGACTGGAAGGATGTACTCCACACTGTTAATAGAGGTTACTTTGGGGGGAGCCTGATCGGAGGACCACTGTGGATGGGGTCAGTGAAGGAGGGGATCGTTTGCCTTTTATTTTATATACTTTTGAGTATTTTACAAAAAGTCTGAGTTGATTCTGTAACTTAGAAATTTTTTTAAGACAACAAAATAATGTCCTCGAATAGTTTTAAATAACACTAGTTTATATTTATGATTTACATCCTTTTTCAAAGAGTAATCAGCAGACGTATCCACCCCATTTACCCTAAATGAGTAAAAACTACATAATCAAGAGCTTTGGTCTATTGAATGAGAATGTCTGTGAGGGGGAATTTTCATCTTAATAAGCTTCCTAAGCTATTCTCATGTGCCCTAATTCTTTCAAACTTCTGATAGAATGTTTCTTTTGTAGACACATGATAAGATTGAACAAAATAGAGTACACAATAATTTGTAGCAAGTAGCTCAATTGCATGAAAAAACAAAACAAAACAAAAAACATATAAAAGAGTCAAAAGAAGTGAACCAGACTGTTGTCAATGGCCATCTCAGAGTACTAATGACAAGGAGCTCACATGTGATTTCTTCTACATATTTTCTGTATTTTCCACATTTTCTAAAATGAGGATATTACTTTCCTTCCTTTTTCTTGTGCAAAATTTTAAACATACTCAAAAGCACAGAGAAAATGATAATAAACAGCCATGTTACCCACCATCCAGATTGAACAAATGGTACATCTGGCCATTATGATACTTTTATAATGAGGAAAAACTCACTTTTTTTTTTTTTAAAGAAATGAATGGTCAAGCCAGCCTCCTTAGGCTTGGGATGACCGGCTTTCGATGCCCTCCTCCATGCAAAGGGCTGTACTGCCTCTGGGCTTCTGTTTCTCATCTGAAAATACAGAGGGGTGCCCAGCGTCTCCTCTTTCATCCCAGCAGGTCTCCGGTTCTGGAGCTGACCTCTGACAGAGGAAGACGGAGGACAGCACGGGGGAGGGGATGCACTTGCCTCGGACCACTCGGGTTTGGGTCCTGGCTCTGCCATCACCTTGGGCAAAGTTACTCAGCCTCTTTGTATCTCATTTTCTCTGTCTATAAAATGGGGTTAATAACAGAACCCATTTTCCTGGGAGATGGTGATAAGGAAACCAGGCATGTAAGTGGCTGAGCTGTGCCTGGCATGTAGACGTGAGCACTAAATGCTGGATTTGTCTATTACTTGTACAAGGAAGGGGATTCTAATGGCGCGTGATGGTCCCAAGGGCCACATGCGAGGGCCACACGTAACAATTACCATCGATACTCTAGCTACATGCCAGATATCTTAAATCAATTTACATACACTATTTCATTTATTCCACACCCCACAACAACTCTGTGGGGTAGGTACTACTATTGCCTTCCTCATAGTGAGGGAACTGAGCCACAGACAGGTGGAACGTGCCCCAGGCCACCCAGCCATTCATGGCCAAGCTTCCCTTTGAACCTGGGTTCTGTCTGACTCCAAGTCCAGTGCTGTGTTCTGAGCCCCTCAGCCTGCCTTTGAGTTGCTCTGGTCAGGTTTCAGAAGTGTGGGGGATTTAGGGGATGGGGGGACTCCAGGCCCCTCCCCCGAGTTGGTCTGGATCAGTCTCCCCGCCCTTTCCGGACTGCGCCACTGCAGGGGGAGCCAGGCCTGTTTGTCCGCTCATCCCCTGTAAGCCAGGAGGTGCCTTAGTCATCTCACAGCTGAGTCACGCTACCAGCTTGCCAGCCCGGGGCTTGGCAGGCTGGATTCAAACAGGACCAGCCTTCCCAAACTGGGAGGCCAGCAGAATCCAGTGTCCACACGCCTGGGGCCCCAGATCTGCCTTAGAATATGTATCTAGGGTCCCAGGAATTTCTGTAAGGTTGAAGTTGTCTCCTAAAGACCCCTTCTGCTTTTTTGAACCTGAGAATATGCCACAGCTTTGATGTGCCATAGATCTTCAGTGGGCTCTGCCCAGGGTGCAGTATCATCAGGTTTGGCAAATACACTGAGACTCAAGCTTCCCCAGTGTCAGTCTGGGTAGAGTTAATGGGAATGCTTGGCTGTATCCACAGCTCCCAGGACATAAACAACAGCTGATTTGAAAGCATAGTTGCAGCACTTGTGAGAAAACGCTTGGAGGTTCTCAGAGCAGGAGTGGATGTCCAAGAAAAGTGTTACTAGGAATCCTGCCTAGGCTAGATGCTCAGGAGCGGCACATGGACAGAGTGGCCTGCAAAAGTGTGCTCCACCCGGCAGTGTGAGGTGCAACCCCAGGCAGGGGCCAGAGTGGGATCTGGGGCCGATTCTGGGCTGAATCTTCTACAGTCTCAGTGGTCTCCTACAGGTGCAGGCCAAGGATCTGTGGATGGTAGATTTGGGGATGAGGTAGGATCTGAGTTCAAATCCCAGCTTTGCACTTCAAAGTATAAAAAAAGGGGTAACAATAGTAACCACCTTATAAAGACAAGAAATAATGGCTGAAAGATTATTTCCAGCAAATGTCACATCCTTAGTCAATGGCGGTCCCTCTCATTAGACTCAAAGGTTATGATGAATGGTTGTCCTTCTACATGAGGTCACTGGATATCTGGAGACAGATTGGAGAGAAGGGACCCTAGGCAGTGGCGGAATGTTTACTCTCTAAGACACAATGTAAACTCTTTGTTTTCCAGAAAGTCAAGAAGAAGCATAACATACAACTATGTGAATAGCCCTCGGCTCGGAAGAAACACATATAAAGAACAGTATGCCTTTTTCTACAAGTAAGTATAATTTAGGCTTCCTAGAACATGGTTCACTTATAAGTGACTGTGAATTGAATCAAAATGCTTATCCTTTCTTCAAAACCAAAGTTTGATCTCTAAGCAAAATTTGATCTCGAGGAAGATCAGAATAATTGCTGTCCAAATTGGGGCTGATGCAAAGTATTAACTCTTCAACCTAGAAAACAAGAGCAGCTTCCTAATACCCAATTTGTTGGTTGACTCAGTGGCCACCTGGTCAAGGAGGGTCAGGAGTTCTGTATGCTTCGTAGTCAAGTCCTGGCCCAGGGACGGAAACCTTAGTTGCCCAGCACAGCTGACTCCAGAACTTCATAGTCTCATCTTTTCTCTGCTAGTCGTTTAAGTTTGAACATTGACTTGTGGGTGCCCCAGATAATCAGTACTGCTCAGATCTTCAGCTTCCAAAGGCCCTTGGCCATTGAGCAGAGCGGACTGAGTCCCGTTCTCATGCAAAAGAACCCTTCCAGTGTTTGAGTCTGCTTGGGAAGTTAAAGAAGCCCTGGGCTCCTAGTCTCTGCTTTTTGAAAGACTCAGCAGGAGGGCTTGTTTTTCTCTCATAGGGAAAAGCTAGTGTCTGTGAAGAAAAGCTACATCTACCATGACTACCAGGCTGGAGATGCGGATGTATTTTCCAGGGAACCATTTGTGGTTTGGTTCCAGTCACCCCACACTGGTGAGACCCACAGGCCCCTCTTACCCAGAAGCTCCCCTGCAATCTCATGAATGGGCAGCGGCCCCAAGGGTGAGCTGCAGCCCCAGGCTTTATGCAACATCTTCAGGGAGGTCTTGGGCTTGAGATGGCTGTTAAGAACTTCTAATACTCGAATGTAAAGGACACAGGCTGGCTTCTCAGAATGCTATGACTTAGGACCTCCTCAGCCTGGAACAAGAACTCCACTCTCTTTGGAGCATTTAGGCTGATGGAAATTATTTACTCCAATTCCTCAGTCCCAATCAAGTACAACTATTCCTTCATTAAAAAAACAGATGCTAGTGATGGCCAGCAAAGTGAAACCCCCTACCTCGAGTCTCCGTCTCCCTCTAGTAACCACACAGCCATCTCCTCCACTGACTGGATGTAGAGGGGAAATCCTAAAGGTTGCACCTTGGATTCTAACAATGGTACCTGTCTTAGCCACTAACAATTATTGGTCCCTGATTAGTAGGTCCTGTGACCCCTGTAACACCCTCCAAGGTAGGCACTAGGATTATCTCCACTTTACAGGAAATTGAGGTTCAAAAAGGTGGCTTTACTTGTCCAAGGCCCCCCAGCATCTATTGAAATGAATGAGCCAGGGTTGCAACACAAGTCACAATCTTGAGAGCCCATCTTTCTTGAGACACTAAGTGGAAAGTCAAGAATGAATTTGGTTTGCAGATTGGAGCTGTGCAGAATCAAGTATTTTCTCAGCACCTACTACATCCCAGGCTCTGTTCCAGGCTCTGGACTAGACAGACAAGTTGCCTGCCCTTGTGAAGTGACGTCATAGTAGGGGAGACAGCTAATGACAAAATAAACATATGCAGAGCTTATGTATGCCTATATTATACTACGCAAATAGGCACATCTTCAGCTATGAGGTTAACTAATTCTGCCCCCGTGTTCATCAGCTCGGGGGCAGATACTTCAGGGAAACAAACATAAGAGAATGATAGGGAAATTCCCAGTAGAAGAAGAGAAGGGGGTGGTGCTGGGGACAGCAAGAAATGTCCTTCAGGAAGCAGGCACAGCCATCGCCCTCGTCACACACACGACTCGCCTTTGGCTGACCAGGCAGCGTTGGGAGAGTCCCCCGAACCCCACCTGAGTGCTCAGCCTTTGTGAACTGCTCACCCCGTTTGTCTTGCTTGCCAGCTTCTCGCCTTTCCCTCCTTCCCGCCTGCTGCCCTGGGGTGGGACGGTCACAGAAGGCGGGAAAGCCCGGAGGAGGGACTGACAACACCTGGCTCGCCCACGTTCCCTCCACCAGGCTGTCCATCCCTCCTGGCGGGGAGACTCCACAAAGGACCACTTGCCTTTTCAAATAACTTCTGGGGACTTTTTTTCTGACTATGAAAAAGAGCACAAACTGACGAGGCTCCATTTTTTAAATCAGAAAAATATGTTTTCCCTTAGAACACGCTTATTTTTGAAAAATAGAAAATGCAGGGTTTTGTTCTGTTCTGTGTTTCCAAAAAATATGAGAAAATAAAAACACCCACAAGGCCAGCAAGGAACACTGTCTACCAGCTTTCTCTTCGCCATGAAGGACAAGGAATGGGAGAAAAGAGGCTTTTGTGCACTGAAAATAGCAGCCTATTGATCCTAAGAACATTCAAATCTCAGCTGCTGGCTGGACCCTCTGAAGTGGGGGGACCCAGATGACACAGTCTGGGCCTTCCGGGGAGGACAGCTTGTTTCCCTCAAGTAACGTTCATGAACCTTGACAGGAGAAGGATGTGACCTCTTCTCTTTCCTGTTCCTCAGTGGTCAAGGACTTCGTGATTGTGCCCCTGCACACCACCCCCGAGACATCCGTTAAAGAGATTGATGAGTTGGCTGATGTCTACATGGATGTGAAACGCCGCTGGGGGGCGGAGGTGAGGACGCTCTGTGTCTGCTGAATTCCCATCTCGTTGGGGCAGAACCTGACCCTTGAGAGGGAGGAGTTGACTCCTTGCAAGGGGGAGGGGGCAGGTCTTATGCGGACAAGCACCACTTTAGAACCTCAGGCAGGCCTTTCCTCAGCCCTAAATATTCTTGCTGAGCTGCCTGGCTGCCGTCTGAGTGGGTCTGGGGGATTCACACACTGCTCCACTAAGAACGCTGCCAAACCCACTGAGGGTCAGATTCAGCCAGGCACCATGCTTAGGCTAGAGGCGGACAAGTGTATTGCATCCTCCCAGTAACCTCCCGAGCTAAGGACTTTGGTCATTCTCTTTGCAGCAGAGAGCAGTGACACACAGAGAGGTCAGGGGTCTTTCAGTTGCAAGTGACAGAATCCCAAACTGGCTCATGAAAAGGGGGAGCAATTTATTGGTTCGTGTAACCAAAATGTCCAGGAGCATTCAGGCATAGCTGGATCCAGGGTGAGACATGGTCATCAATCAGGACTGGTCTCACGCCTTTCCATCTCTGGGTCCTCCTTCCCTCTGGGTGGGCTCATCCTCAGGCCGGCTCCCCACACCGCCACCCCCCACCGCCCTTACCTCCTGGGATGGTAAGAGCACTGCCACCTGCTTTCAGACCCACTGACTAACTTCCGGTCCCACAAGGCAGCCACCACCCTGGGACTGAGTCTCATTGGCTCTGGTGGGTCACATGTCCATCCCTGAACCAATCGCTCTGATCAGGGGTTGATTGGCTAAATCTGTATCATGGGCAGTCCAACCTCATGGACTAAGATGGAGGAGGGAAATGGTTCCCAGAGAAACTAGGGGTGCCATTCTCACAGAAGGGGACTACATCCTCCAGCCTCTTGGCCTTCGGTATTTCCTCACCTGGAAAACAGGGACACCACCCTGTTCACCCAGGTCACATTATCCCTCTGTCCAGTTCCCACGGGGGCTAAAGGTCCCTTCTACTTCCCAGTGCTCATTGTGAAATTTAAGTTAAAATTTATAGAACACATAATGCGGGACCCAGCACATAGTGAATGCGCAGCAAATCCTGCCTGTCTGAACGGAAGCTAGTGGTCACTCTGGTTAAGGGTGGCATCCTGTCCTCAACTGTGTCCATCAATCTCAGGGAAAACCATGATCTCCAAGGCCAAAACGAATTATTTTTCTAAGTCAGCACAAACAAGGAACTCTGACACTTCCTCTGGATTGAAGAAAATAAAAATTCTGTTCCAAAAACCCCGCAAGGAAGTACACTTCCAAGACAGAGGGGATCTGTGTGCGAGCTGGGGGCAGGGGTGGGCAGCTCACCCTACCATCCCTCCTGTAAGGCTCTTCCCACTTCCTCAGGAGCCAGAATGGGCACCTAAGTAAGTTCCCAACTGCAAGGCAATAGCAGAGAAAGCTTGGCGCTGAGGCTGTCAAACACGCCACCCACATTCATTTTTTTCCTGGCTGGAAACAAAAGCCGTTGATTCATTCATATGTCTAATCCTGGGGTCGTTTGAGCCAGAGACAGAACATGGGAGGGGACAAATGAGCTGGTTTCTTTTATCCCCACCTGGCCCCACAGGCTGGATTGTAGAGGCCTGTGACTAGGAACAGGAGGGGGGCCTCCGCAAGCATCCCATTAAGAATATCTTGCCTTGCACACACTCGCCTGTCAAAAATACCCACCAAAACTGTGACTCATTTTTAAACTGCAGCCTCTTCTTTTAAAAAGCAAAAAGAACTTAAGACCCTGTGTTAGTTTGTTAGGGCTGCGATATAACAAAGTACTGAAGACTGAGCTGCTTAAACCTCGGAAATGTATATATTCACAGTTTCGGAAGCTAGATGTCGGGGTGCAAGGTGTCTGCAGGCTCGGCTTCTCCTGAGGGCTCTCCTCTGTCTTCCCCCGGCGCTCAGCGTCCTAATCTCTGTTTGTGAGGACTCACCCATATTGGGTTAGGACCCACCCACATAACTCATTTTACCTAGTTACCTCTTTAAAGGCCCTCTTTCCAAACGTAGCCACAATCTAAAGTACTGCACGTCAGGGCTCCAATATATGAATATGTGGAGGTGGGAGGGTGGGGGCCGCACAATTTCGCCCGCAACAGAACTCACTGTTTATGGGCATGGGAGGTGGATTCATTACTAGCAGTTCTGGGCAAAAGCATTTGGCATTAATGCCCACCAGGTGATGGCTCTAAATCACGTCTTTCAGAATTTCATTTTTATGGGTGACTTCAATGCTGGCTGCAGTTATGTCCGCAAGAAGGCCTGGAGCACCATCCGCCTGAGGACTGACCCCAGGTTTGTTTGGCTTATTGGGAACCAAGAGGACACCACAGTCAAGAAGAGCACCCACTGTGCGTATGACAGGTAAGGGGCATCTGCCTGCCTGCTGCTGGCCCGTAGAGGGCTTGGTTTGCATTAGAAAAGCCCTCCTCCCCGAGCACTTGGCTTGGAGAGCCGAGTCAACTGGACCTCAGGCCCCTCCACCATGTACTTTGTGCGGTGTACACACTGCAAGCCTGTGTGGTACCTGAGCACTGCAGCTTAGCAGTGACAAGGACATGCTTTGGGGGTAAGACAGGCCTGGGTTCAAATTCTGACTCTACGCTTAATGTGTCTGTGACCAACAGACTTAAACACTCTGTGCCTTTGTTTCCTTACCTATGAGATGGAGATTGTAGTAGGGCCTTATTCGTGGAGATATGATGAGGCTTAAGTGAAGTAACATAGGTAAACCTTCTAACACAGTGCCTGGCATATGGCAAGTGCCCTATATATCCACTGGCTATTAATTATTCCATTACAAAGACATACCACTATTTATTTACTCAATCCCCTATCACTGAGCATTAGGTTATTAACACGGGTTTGCTATTAAAAGCACTGCTGAAATGAACATTCTTTATAGGCACTTTGTGTAAGTACTTAGGATTTCCTCAGGGCAAAACTCTAAAGCGGAGACCAGTTAGTGCAAGGATATTTACACTTCTAAAGCTTTTGCTACACATTCCTAAATGCAAATACATGCATTTAAATAACAGCATTGTCTTGTGTTTGTAAAGTCTCACTGGGGATTTTCCATCAGCTTTCACCTTTGCTCCTTAAATGGAGAGGGAGGTAGTGGGGGGCCCCTGAAGTGCGTTGAAGGTTCATGGTCCTCCCATCCACAGCAGAGACCACAGAGCAGAGACCTCAGCAGCCTGGCTCCCACAGGGGGCGGCCATTCTCAAAACTCAGCCTGCTGCTGAGAAGCCCGAGATGGCCATCGGCCAGAAGTTCTCACTTCTCTAGTTTTGAAGTCCGGCTTTCATTTCCATCCCATGACCTACCTCCCTTGTTCCTCTTGGAACTTTCAGGGCTGATGTGTCGTTTGCAGATGTTAAGGCTCCAGCTCTCAGAAGTGGAACTAGCCCTGGCCTAGGGGAAGGCAGAATCAAGGCGAGGAGTCACAGGAGAGGGAGCTCCCAGGTGCCTGCCCCCCGGCTCCCATCTGAGCGGCTGCCAACAACGCCGGGCGGAGATGATCCCTC